CAGCAGTTCAGTGTGGACCGACCTCTGTGCCCCCAGTGTAGAAACCAACATCTCATCCATCACCTACTCTGCCACGACCACTGGAACCTCCCCTGTTGCTCCTCACCTGTACACCTCAGAGTCACACTATGTCGCCCATGCTGGCTGCAAGTTTATGCTCCTCCAGCTTTAGTGACCATAGTGCTCGTGTTATGGTGTTGTGTTTCATATCTAACACACATCGCTGTGTTCTTTGGGCAGTTTCTAGTATTTTACCATACAGAAATGGGAGGAAACTCTTGTGAGGTCAGCTCTCCCAGTAGAAGCCTGGCTGAGATGACATTTGCCATAGCTATATGTATGCCAATTCATATGTTGAAGTCCTAGGCCAAAGAACTTTAGAATATTATTGGGTTTGCTGGAAGGTTTTGAAAGAGAAGGACCTTGGGCTGGAGAGATGGCTCAGCGGTTAAGAGCACTGACTGCTCTTCCAGAGGTCCAGAGTTCAAATCCCAGCAACCACATGGTGGCTCACAACCATCCATAGTGAGATTGGATGCCCTCTTCTGGTGTGTCCGAAGACAGCTACAGTGTACTCATAATAAAATAAATAAATAAATCTTTAAAAAAAAAAAAAGAAAAGAAAGAGAAGGACCACAGAGACAAGAACATGAGTGATCCAAGCCTATCATCTCACTGGTGATCTTCTAAGTGGTCAGGACACAGATACAGGAGGACACCGGGGACAGACTGTGTGAGAGGAGGAGAGTGGATAGAGGAGCTAGCCCTGTCACCCCTTATCTCTGGTCTCCAGCCTCCAGGACTGTGAGGGGCACACTGTGCAGTAAGACGTAGGTGGGTGGGGGACACATGAATGCAAGTGTTCCCAGATGTCAGGTCATCTTCTAGCATAAACACTACAAACTGTCAGCAGACTAAGTCTGACAATATGTAGGTCAAAGCTGGGTCATTTATTCCAGGAACACAGGTTTGTCTAAACACCTGGAAGAAATAACAGTAAAAAAAAAGAGTCACCATCTTTTCAGTAGGATAAAATGCATCCTGTAAAACTCAACAGGCACAGCACGGAGGCAAGAAAGACAAACCAAAGCCTTTAAGTACTGCAGAGCAAGGACAAGAAAACATTCCTTGCTCATGGTAAGTTTCACAGAAAAACCCTTTGTGTTTATATGCTGCCTGCATCAGTGCTATTAACAGGAAACATGAAGTACAGGTACAAACTCCCCAGCACACTCCCAGCGAGCCAAGCTGCAGGGACAGCCAGGGCTCACCTGGAAGGCCCAGACAGTGTCCTCTAACAGCCTTCTGAAGAGCTGTGTTACCTCTGTGGTCCCAGCTCCCTACCTGTACTTAACATAACTCTTGGGGTGGGCCCTCACCAGGTACCCACCCACAGACCACAGGCCCAGAGAAGAGGAACACAGTCACAGAGCAGGCAGCACTGCTGACAGTGAGTGGAGGGGACAAACAAGACAGTCTTGGACACTGGAGCTCTACCCAGTAGCAAACAGACAAGGTGCCTACATTTTCCCCAGCCCAAAGCCAACCCCAGGTATATGGCAGGCTGGGAACCGATGAGCCAAAACCAAGAAGCTTTCGAGAATACTTTAAAAGTCTTCACGACCCTATAGCATAGAATTTTTCAAAACTAGTAACAAAAAGTTGATAATGTAGCCCTAGAAATCTTAAGAATTATTTAACATAAAGTATGAAAGGTGAAAGAAGCTAATCAATTTGCAAAAGATAACAAAATAGGCAAAAACTTGTATAGATAGCTTACAAGGCAAAAAGTACAACCAGACAATGAAGAGAGAGAAATATGGCCAACTTCATGTGGTCATAAATGCCCACCAAGAGCTCGGTGGTGGTGGTGGTAGCGGCGGCACAGACAGAGGCAGGAGGATCTCTTTGAGTTCAAGGCCAGTGTGGACTAGAGACAGTTCCAGGACAGCCAGGACTACACAGAGAAACTCTGTCTCAAAAAAAAAAAAGTTAAAAGGGGCCAAGGAAACTGTAATTTCACAGGAGGGGAGCCACCATTGTTTCGATGAACACATGGCTGAACAAATGACAACCCATGTTGATCTAAAGCCCGGACCCTCCAGGACTCCCTCTCCATGAGCCCACTGTGGATCAGTACCTGGACAGGTAGGCCCACAGACTCATGTAGCAGGAGCAGGACTTGTGGGGCCCTCCCCTGAAATCCTCCACTTCTCTCACTAGGAAGCCAGAGGGCAATGGCTCTACCCTCTCTGCTTCCCCAGCAGCCTCCGTGGGTCCCAGATGTGCCCTCTCTACTATGCCATCTGACTTTGTATATCAAGCCTCAAGGCCTGGCCCCTGGTTTACATGCTGGCTGCATTTTCTTCTCTGGAGCAGGGAGCCTCGAGTCTCAGGAGCACTGTCTCATGGAGTAGTCAACCCATACCTCCATTCTACCCACACAAGTGCCAACTGAATGCTGGTACACATTGCCACAGGCTTGCCGACACGGCATCCCACATAGCACTAAGGACACTCCAAAGGAGAATGACAAGCACCTGGTGGCACTGAGGAAGGCTGAGAGAGAAGGGTCAACTTGTACCTACATGCTCTGGCCTGTGCCTATTTAATAGCACAGCAAGGGGCTGGTGAGATGGTTAAGAGGTTGCTGCTCTTCCAGAGAACCTGAGTTTGGTTCCCGATCCTATGTCAAGTAGCTCACAACTACCTTCTGGAAGCTGGGCTGGTTATTCAATGGCTGTAGTTGCAATCTAGGGCAAGAAAAACCATCGCACAGCAGAAGATTCCCTGCGGTGTTTGTGGCAAGGTAGTGCCCATGGGAATGGGTGAACTTGGAAGGCACCAAGACCACCTGGTTCAAAGGGCCTCTCCTTTGCCCCCAGATACCCAAAGGTGGATGCCCTATCTATTTCTGTAGCTCTAGGCAAAATATGCCAGGCGTATGAATAAGTCTGCAGTTGTGGGGAGGGAGACAGAACAGAGAACTGTGCACGAGCTTAAGTAGAGGACAGACTGTCCTGGAAGGGCTCTTCCAGTCCTCAACACACATGTAGCCCCTAGCACCTCTGGGAGTTCTGCAGGAAGGGATTATCTCTATAGACACACGGGACATGGTAGTCCGAGAGCAAACCTACCATCCCAGAGCAAACCCCAGGCCAGGTCCATACTCACAGACATTAGGAAGGGGACCGCTGACTTCATTGTTTCCAGCATGCTCAGTAGTTGATGCTGCTAAGGACATGTTCCCTGCTCTCCCAGGATCTGCTTGATATTAAATCTTATGGTCTACCTGAACCCAGGTGCAGAGGCAAGTATCTTTTCCTCGAGTTCACTTGACAGAAGTTTAACCACTTTTATTGACCATCCACCAATTACTAACAGGCAAAGGGAGATGTCCTCATACCTGGTGGTTATTACCCAGCTCAACAGAGATTACCATAACTCTGAACAATTCCTGGGCAATAGCAAATGGTATCCTCATCTGGTGCCAAGCGTAGAACCACATGTCCCAGAGTGGAGACAGGATCTACTGTTAACCAGTAGTGCCTGTGTTTCCCCAGAGCACTGTTCCTGCCAGAGTCTGCTCTCCTGGGACAAGAAACAGGAAACAGGTTGCTTGTGAGACAAACAAACACAAACAGCTTAACTGTCACTATGCAATTACCAGCACCGAACATGTTCCTAACACCACAGCGGCAGGTAAGTGGACTGGTGTTGAGCAGATAAAGCCTTACTACTGAACAGAACCTAGGAATAAGATACATAAGGGGAAACCTGGTAAGAAAGGTGAGCCCAGCACACAACTTGTGAGAATTCACCCGTGTTGCCTGGCTGTCCCACTCCCATTTATAAAGGTCTACCTTGAACCACAGACCCAGTACAGAGATCAAAAACCAAGTTGTCTTTTGAAACAACAGCTGTATCCATTCAACTTAAACATGCAGAAGCCCGTGTTTCCAGCTCCAGACCCTGGGGCTTGGCTGGTCCTAAATCCCCATACAACAGCAAGCACAGGGCCACTCTCTCAGGCTACCCAGCTTTGTGTCTACAATTAATAACAGTGGCTACCCAGGGTTTCCACCAGTCCACATAATCAAACATGAAAGAACACCCCTCCCTCCCAAACACAAGGGACCATTCTCCTGCCTATGGCATGAGACTCTTTCTCTGTAGGACAGGGTCATTTCCAGCCAGGAGGAGACAAAGCTGAGATATTATGGGTCTTATCTTGGAATGGGGACAGGCACCCTACTCTCTGAAGTTTGTGGTGCACAGAGGAACACCAACCAGGATCTTTGCTCAGGCACCAGCTTTTAGAACAAGTGTGACGTGGGTCTCCTTCTCACAGGACAGATGCTATCATACTGCTGCTAGGTTTGTAGCACCCATCCTAACTATAAAGAATGACCACACCCTGACTTGAACCATTCATGGAGTGCAGCCTGGGCTACATATTCTTCCTTATCATGCAGGTGTCGTCATAGCTCCTCCTTACTACCTGGGCAATCAGGGAAGCAGACGACACTCAGAGAGACCCTGGATGGAGACGGACACTAATTGTACTTTCCCAGGTCACAAACCCGGCAAACAGTAGGTGGGATGAAGGGGCTAGGGGAGGAACTTGTTATCCATGCACTGAGTGTTTTGTCAGGGGAGTTTGCATCACAGCTCTGACATCATAGCACACCTTTAGCCCTCCAATGGTGTCATGGTGGCACCAGAAGATCCCGTGGACACCACTCACAGGTTTCAGTGCTGGTACAGCTTTTCTCAACACAAACTTAGAAAGACCTAGGAGGAGAAATCCCCACTGAGGAGTTGCCTCCTAGGGGTTTAGGAGGGTCTAGCCTGTGTGAAGATGGCAGCAGAGCAAGCCGGCGGGGTGGGGGGCGGGGGGCAAGCCAGTGACTGCATTCCCCCACTGTCTCTGCTTCAGTACCTGTCTTAGCTTTCCTCAATGGTGGATTGTAAGCCAAATAAACCCTTTCTTCCCCAAGTTGCATTTGGTCATGGTTTTTATTATGATTTTCATGTATCACAGCAGCACAGAGCTCAGAACACCAGTGACACCAGATAGCAGAAGCACCAGAGTGCACCTCAGACACCAGGGAGACCCTGAGCCTGCAAGGTACAAGTTTATTGCCAAGGAATCAGTGAGAAACAGGAGGATGCTGGGCATGGCTGCTTCCCAGTGGGGCTTGTGACTTGGCCACAAACATAATGCAGGAGATAGTACTGGCTTTACACATGTGACACTGGACACAGGTAACCATAAAATGAAACCACCAATAGGGTCAGGTCACCAAGATCAAAGCCATTTCACTAGGTAAACCAGCACCAATCTATAAAGGTTTACCCAAGTTGATTAACTTTCAACAAGAAAAATTTACTTTAACACTTTCTTCTTCAAAATAACAACCACAGTTTCAAACAATCTAGAAGTATATTTTGTACTATGTCACTTTTCAATATTGCCTGAAGTAGTCTAGGCCTGAAAAGTTTGACTGGAGATTGTATTGCAGGAACACACCTAGAATACCAGGTCAAAAGGTCACACTAGAAATGGTATCTTTGGCATGCATACACACATATGTACACAGGCCATCTACACACATTCATGTGCATATACTCATATATGCACATATAGGTATATCCCATGTCTACACACACATACAGGTGTATGTATTAGCCCCCTAATATCCTGTCTGCACATTTATTTCTGAAAAATATTTTTAATGCCAACCAATCTGGGCTCCTTGGAGTCTGTCATTACTAAGGAATGACCCACATGAACTGTCATGTACTGAATTACTTGACACTTTCTGCCTGAGAGGCTAAATGAGCAGTCTTCCCAGCACAGCTGGTTGAGACAAAGTATCCACACCCTGGAGACTCCAGATCACCATTGCTAAGTCCTGTACCGTAAACTTCCTAATAAAAACTACTGCTGTGCCAGGGCACACAGAAGGCATGGGTGATTCTAAGCCATCAAGCCACATGGCTTCCACAGCCTGCGCTTGAGACAGCCTTCAAGACAGGCCACGTGCTAACTCACCACATCAGAAGTGGAGCAGAAATGTAACTTTCTGCTCTACACCGGGTCTTCCAATTCTTCATGAAAAACAAATTCCTAGGTAACATGAAAGTCATGTGCAGTGCCCTGAAGCCAGGAGCTGCGCGACACTGTCAGGAGAAGGAGTTGTGACAACCACACAGTTAACAGAAAGCCAGCTCGTTACTTTATTACATTGTAGTGCTCTCTTAAAATAAATATGGTAACATCAAGTGCACAGTGAGAAATGAAAACACACAGGGCAGCCGGTGACAGGCGGTCACAGACTTTACTGCTCATACAGCACAGCGCCTGCCACTCCTGACTGGATACAGTCACAAAGGAAGAGAAGACCAGACCTCACCTCACCTCACCCCACCCCTCCAGCCTTCTGTCCCATGCTCCATTCCCGTCTGCCTGACACGGCCAGTGCTAACACTGAGACGTCTGAGTTCCCTCTGTTCTCTTCAATTCTCTCCTGCAGTTGAGACAGATTCAAGTAACACTCTCAAAAGGAAATGTGCAAAACTACAAGTGGCTCCAGGGTCTTCGAACAGCTGGCTCATCGCTGGGGCACCTCTGCTCCCCAGGAACGCCTGTTCTGAAGCAGACAGCTGCCACAGGGACCAGTGGGGAAGAGACCTGAAGCAGCTACCCCATTCTGAAATAACTGCAAATAACCACCACGTTTTAAAAGAGGCAAAATGCAGAATTACCAACCTCACCTTAGACAGCACACGGCACCGAGCATGCTGTTCCTCCAGAAGCAAGAACTATATGGTAGGCAAGCCAGGCCATCACAACACCACGAAGGAGCCGGCAGCCAAGGGTGGAACGTATGCTACTATACCAAAATCTGCCTTTATTAAAGTGAACATACCAGCACATTGCCTAGACCTAACCAGTGGTGGCTAAAGCCAGCTTAGCTGCCGGCTTCCAATGAGGCCAGCATCAGCTAGCAGTACCCACAACCCTTCTGATTGTGTGGCAGAAATACTCACTCCAAATATGTAAACGTCATTTTAGCAGAACACAAATTTTGCCGATTTCAGTGCTTTTAGTGAATTGACATTTTCAGTAAACTTTTTCTGAGCAGCAAGGAACAGGTTTGTTTTTTTTGTTTGTTTTTTGTTTTGTTTTGTTTTTTTTTGTTTGTTTTTTTCAGAAATCTTAGAACTGGATATAAAGGTTGGCAGTAGACATAGTCAATAAATATCATACAATTTCTAAAATGAAAAAGATTTCCCATACGAACTCCTTTTATGAAGACATTCAAACACCCTGACCCGAACAAGCCTCGGCCCTATAATCACGCACGATTACAGCTGGCCAACATGGGGCATCAGGCAGTATGCACCGGGTGAAGGAGGCCAGAGAGCAGATCACATTTAATTTATCCTGAAGAACTTCAAGTGAGGGGCCCACAGCCCAGATCACTCCATGGTGTCCCTTATTCTGAGGATCTCAGTGGTCAGTGGGCCACAGCAGCCATGCCCATGAAAGCACAGGACTCACTCCTGGATACGCAGTGCCCAGCATCCATGTGTGCAATCAGTGGTGAGAGGATCTTCTCTGTTCTCTAGCAACCTCTGTAGAAAACTGTCCGTGACTCATCATACTTCGTACCAAAATGGATGAAAATAATAAATGGGGATCCTGTCAGCACATCCTCTCAGAGTCCTGACTGCCGTGGTCACTTACGAGTCTGGGTCTTCTTTGGCACTGTGGGTCGCTTGGGCTGCCACAAGTGGTTATGGATCGTGAGTGCATCCACACTGACTGACATGGTCTTGGCTGGGATCAGGTTAAACTGCTTTCGGTCTGAGCTGTATTTATACAGTTTGTCAATCATCTTCTTGGTGATGCTCTTTGGCCCCGTGCCAGTGAGTTTGTAGATTTCTTCAGTATCAGGTTGGTAGCAGTAAAGTGCCCTGAACTGGCAGCCCGCATCTCGGAACAGAATGATGTAGTGGTTGGCATCACACTTCTCCAGCTCCTGGGGAGTAGGAAGAGATGGGAAACACTGAATTCCACTCTTACACCCCAGAGTCCCATTGTTGCCCAATGGGTGAGTACTATTCCAAGGTAGTAGAAGTCCAAAAAGCATACTCTTTTAAGAACAGATAAAACAGGTCCAGCACAGCCTCTTCACTTTTCTGTTCTCTGGGAAACTCTATACAAAACTGCCTGTGGCTCATCACACTTTGTACCAAACGGATGAAAATAATAAACAGAGATCCTGTGACCACAGTCTCTCAGCGTCATGGCTGCCATGGTCACTTACATGGTCTGGGATTTCTTTCTGTATGCCAAGTCCAGAATAAGGACATCCACAGAGACAGACAGTATGTAGACCAGTGATCACACTATTCTACCAAATACATTGAAACCCACTGAGTGATAGCTTTCAAAGGATGGATTTTATGGCATTAGAGTCTAGATTTCTTCTCCTTCCCACATCCTCCCCACCCAACCCCCAAGTTCTCAGTGTAGCCCTGGCTGTCTTGGAACTCACTCTGTAGACCAGGCTGGCCTTAAACTCAGAGACCTACCTCCCTCTGCCTCCTGAGTGCTGGGATTAAAGGCCTGCGCCAATACACCCCATTCTAATAAAGCTGTTACCAAGAACCTGCAGCCAACAAACTGTTGACATTGCTCCCAGGCTTTGCGGTACAAAGTGTGTGAGAACAAAGTTCCACTCGGTAAACATGTGTGCACTACTCCAGATAAACTCCCCACCCCTTGGTTTTTCGAGACAGGGTTTCTCTGTGTAGCCCTGGCTGTCCTGGAACTCACTTTGTAGACTAGGCTGGCCTCAAACTCAGAAATCCGCCTGCCTCTGCCTCCCAAGTGCTGGGATTAAAGGCATGAGCCACCAGTGCCCGGCCAGATAAACTTTTTCTGTATCAGCAGTTTATAGTCTCACACCTGTAAACATGTGTGCACTCTCCAGATAAACTTTCTGTATCAGCAGTTCCAGAGTGTGGTGAGGACTCCTGACCTTTCCAGCCGTCTGACTCCAGTGTTATAATTTCAGCCTGCCATCTCCAGTGAGTGCAAGGGAGATTCTGAGGCCACGCGACAAGCAGGGTGTGCCAGAGCTAAAAAAGGTTCCAATTCTTGCCCATAAAACCCCAAATTTAAAAGATTTATAAAAAATATAAAACAATGACTTACTTACCTTTGCTTTAGAAGAGATAATTTTCATAAATATTTATGATTTTGCCAATGGGCTTACTATTGTTTATTTTATTCTTTGTAGTAGTAGAATGTACATGTGAATGATAGAAAGGGCACATGTGTGTAGGTCAGAGGACAACTATTTGAAACTGGTTCTCTCCTTTCCCCTAGTTATGTGTTCTGGGGATCAGACTCATGTTGTTAGGCCTGAATGGCAAATACTCTTTTACCCACTGAGCCATCTCACTGGCCCAGAATGTTTTGCCTAAATATGTCTAAGTATCACATGTGCTGGTATCCACAAAAGCTAGAAGAGGGCATTGGAGCTCCTAACATTAGAGTTACAGATGGTTGTGAGCTGCCATGTGGGTCTAGGAGTCAAACCTCTGTAGCATATGTAGCAGCATACTTCCCCCACAAGTTGGGAGGAGCTAAGGTGGGAGGAGTAATGGGAGGAAGAGGAGTAAGGAGAAGAGGAAGAGAAGAAGGAAGAGGAGGAGCTGAGAAGGCAGAGATGTAGGAGCCATGGATGACCATGCATATATCGAGAGCAGTCCTGAGTAACAACAACTTATATCTAGGTTAGTTAACTGGTTAACACTTCCAATTGTGTGGGCATCTTGATATTTGAGCATTACCAAATAATAAGCTATTAGATAATCTTTAACAATTAGAGTCTCATTTCTACTGGGTACTGTGTGGATAGTGGGACGGTCTGGGCTCAGCCCAGCCTTGTGGAGACAGTGTGGAAGATTGGCAGAGCCATCTCCCACATTGGTGTCTCGTGGGTGGCAGGGCCAGTGTCTCTGGCAGCCTGAACAGACAGCCTGAGCCAGCAGCATGAGCCAAGCAGTGGCGAAAATACGCTGCTGCTGCTGCTGCTGCTGCTCGTGACCTCAGGCCTAGCCTAGTTGGGAACATGGCGGCTCCGTAACTACAAGCCCGAACGGATGCTGCCATTTTTTAAATATTTCCCACAACAAACCTCAGCTTCTGGAAGAGCAGCCAGTGCTCTTAACCATCTCTTCAGGCACCATCAACTTACAAATTTTTAAAAGATTAAGTAGAAAAAGAAAAATCGAAGTCTATAATATACAATACTGACCGAAACTACTCGAACAGTGTTTAGACATGAATTGAATGTCAGGAAGAAGAGTGTCACCTGCAGGAATGGCAGATGTTGCACATCAGGGTCCCTGAACATTCAAGATCAAGTATCCCCTGGTGCACAACTCTGTAAGGAAGCTAGCTGGTACTTTAACTTCCCAGGTGTCCAGATCAACGCTGACAGGAAGGCTTTGAGTATTGAGCTTGCTGAGCATTACATGAACTCTGCCTTCCCTCTAGAGTTTGGGATTAGTTTCACATGGCTCACTAGGTACCACATGACTAACACTGGATAAAAACTCTCAAAAGGATTATGCAGAAAGCATGGTACCAGTTGTGTGTCCCACGTCCTTAGGGGAGGCGGGCCGCGGCACCACCTGCACATGGAGGTGCACCCCTGCCTGCATCTTCCTCCTTGGCATAGGCTGTAACAGAACTGAGCCTAGAGTTTCTTTGCATGTGTGAAGAAAAGGTATTCTCAGGGTCATGACGCCTCTCTGTATGAACATCTTCATGGTGAGAAAAGTCTAAATAGGCCACTCTGTGTCCACAAGCTGAGACCTGACCAGTGGGAGGAGACATGTACATTTAGTACGTAGTAGATAGGCTATTTTACTAGAAAAACAGAAGTAGACATACATTGGGCCCTTGGGACAAGAAGAGGCCACAGTTAAGTGAAAGGGACTGAGGGAACGTCAAGGAAAGAACTCAAATGCCCCATTCCTCACATGGCAAAACCCCATACACACCAAGAGGACAGAGGCTCACAGCTCCCATGGGGCCTGCGAGAATCAGAGAGACCTGATAACTTCCCTCGCCTGCTCAATGCAGCTGGGCCAGTGGTTCACTTGTGAGCATTCCTTTTTACTTCTTATTTTCTAGTCTGAGTCCCACTGTCCCATCTAAGCTCATGATGGCCTTGCCTGTGTGTACACTGCTCACTCAGGGTTTAGCACAGTTGCTTATGTTTCCTCGCCTGTGTCACTGTGAAGCACTCTTTACGGCCACGCTGCAAAGACTCTACTCCCATGGCTTTTATTCTTTCTCTTACTCTTTATCTCTCTCCCTCTCCCTACCCCTCTCTCCCTCTCTTAATTACATTTTTAGTTACTTGTGCTGGAGGACATAGGACAAGTGCAGTCAGAGGACAACTTGCAGGAGCCAATTCTCTCCCCTCTGTGGGTCCTGGGGATGGAAGTCAGGTTGTCAGGTGTGGTAGCAAGTACCTTTACCCCTGGCCCACTCTCTGTCACCTTCCAGAGCTCTAACAATCTCCACATCTGTGAAGCCTAATAATACCCCACACCGATGTTTTTTTCTTTTCAAAGTCTATCTAATACTTTATCTTATCCGTCCTATCTGTCTCTCACCACCAACCTTATTAACTAAGATCTGAGTACACCCCGTACTATCCTTGGTTGCTTATCCTCTAGCGTTATTGAAGTGAAAGGGGCCACCGTTGCTAATTAGCTAATACATATCCAGTGATAATAACTTAGCACAATTAACATCGTATTCAGAAAATAACAGTTTATACCAGGTACCCTGAGCTACTCAATGTAGAAACTGTTTCTGAACTACATGTTCAACAGTACCACATCCCAACTGAACACGGTACAGGAAAGAATACAGTTGACTTTTTTTAAAAAAAAAAGCAAGCAATAAAAGTACCAGATTCACCAGTCTCAACACATAATAAAACACACACACACACACACATACACACAAATTGGGGCTGGAGAGCAGGTTCAGCAGTTAAAAGCACTTCCTGCTCTTCCAGAGGATGAGAGTTCAACTCCTGGCACCTACATGGTGGCTCACAACAATCTAACTGCAGTTCTAGAGGATCCAACACCTTCTTCTGGCCAGTTCGGGCACTGTATGGACATGGTGCACAGACATACAAACAGGCAAAATATCCGTAACACATAAAATAAAAATAAACATTTTTTAAAAGAAATAAGACAAAAAAGCAAGACAACATAATTCCAAGAAAACTAACCAATCCTATAGCAAAGGCATCTATTCAGAGTTAAATGCAATCCCTGAAGAACTCAAAATAACAAAACCTATGGGTTACAAGCAGAGAAGAATCTCATTCCAAAGACATACAAGACATTTCCAAAGAATACAACAGAAAGTTTCCCAGAACTAAGAAAAAGAGACTTAAATACACACATAGGAAGCATTAAGAACAACAAAGACAGATCAGAGAAGAACCTCCTTTATTATGTTATAATTAAATATGAATATACAGGACAAAGGCTACTACTACTGGAAGCAGCAAGAAAGAAACCCCCTAACCCAGCCCTCTAGGGGCTACAGCAGTGTTAAGTGTGAAGCTCAGCAGCCCAGGGAACCTGGTGTAAACTCTGTATTATTCTCCGAGTATGATGTCAATTATTAGATCAACTACCAACTGCTGGATATCATCACTGTACAAAGGACAGCACATCATTCAACTGAGATGTTAACACATGAACAACTGATTCAAGAGGAAGAGAGATGGTCCAAATACTACTAGGTCAACTAAATAGTAAAACATACAACTTTCAATAATAATGCTTTAATAATTTAATAATGTATTAACTGTCTCAATTCCCAAATCAGAAGACAGACTAATAACAAACCACACCACAAAAAAAAAAAAAAAAATCAGACATGTTCCCTGATGATCAGATATAAAGTTCTCAACAAATTACTTGCAAACTAAATTCAAAAACACATCAGAAAGATCATTCACCACGATTAAGCTGGCTTTATTCTAGAAATGAAGGAATGGCTCAATATATAAAATCAATAAATGTTCTTTATATATTTGAATATAAAGTTTATTCATTGCAACAATGTGAGAGGTAGCCAAAAGCATGGCAGCTCAAGTCTGTAATCCAGCATTTGAGAGTCTGAGGCAGGAAGATCACCGTGTGAATTCAAGGCTAGCCTAAGATGCACAGTGAGTTCCAGGACAGTCCAAACTCCTGAGTGAATGCTTGTCTCAAAAAAAAAAAGGTCTGAGAACCCTTGGAAAATGAACAACTATAAATCAAATGATACTTAGAAAATGAAATGAGGCTGCAATTTCTGATTCATATTCTTTTTTTTAAGTCATCAAAATAATTTATAATAATTAAATGCCTCTTGAATATACATGATATCTTCTGAAACTAAAAGTAATATGCACTCAACCAGGTTTTAAAATCTATTTGGAACATTAAACATGATAGAAATGGAAAAAAAATCTCGGATGAAGTCCTCTAGGAAAGGAAATTGTGACAGGTTCCTGATTAGACAGAAACAGTTCCATCTCCAAGGGAGACTAGGCAGCATAACTGTGGCTTCATAGAATGAATTAGGTGGTGTTCCTTCTGTTTCTATTTTGTGGAACAGTTTGAAGAGAACTGGTATTAGGTCTTCTTTGAAGGTTTGATAGAATTCTTCACTAAACCCATCTGGTCCTGGACTTTTTTTGGTTGGGAGAATTTTAATGACTGCTTCTATTTCTTTAGGGGTTATGGGACTGTTTAGATAATTTATCTGATCCTGATTTAACTTTGGTACTTGGTCTCCGTCTAGAAAATTATCAATAAATGTTTTAATTTCCATATATGTATGTGGTACAGATATATGTAGCACATATACATACACTTACAATAAATAAATCTAAAAAATGATAATAAAGAATCCCAAAGAAACCCAGAATAGAAAGAACATAACTCAACATGATAAAGGCTGTATATAATCAATCTACAGTCAATGTTATTTTATATGGTTGAAACTCAGAAAAGCAGTTCCCCTAAAATTGGGAACAAGACAGAGTATTGTATTGTTACAATACTGGAAGTCTTAGCTCAAACAGTAAGACAAGCAAATAAAAGGGATATAAATAGGAAAAGAATAAGATCTCTTATATGTAGATGATAGGGTCCTATACACAAACCCTAAGACTTCACTAGAAAACTCTGAGATCTGATAAACCCTTTCACCACAGTGACAGGAAACAAAATTAACATACAAAATAAGTGCCCTTCCTATTTACAAGTGGCAAACAAACTGGAAGGGAAATAATTACATTCACAATAGACTCTATAAAATATATATATTATATATATAAATATATATATTTATTTATATTATATTTAAATATATGTTATATTTAAATATATATTTATATTATATATATATTGCCAGCTAGCACTTGGGAGGCAGAGGCAGGCAGATCTCTGAGTTTGAGGCCAGCCTCATCTACAGAGTGAGTTCCAGGATAGCCAAGGCTACATAGAGAAACCCTGTTTTGAACCCTCCCCCCACAGAAACACTTCCCCCCACCCCACTAACAACGGATGTCAAAGACCTCTATAATGAAAACTTTAAGACACTGAAAAAAAAATCTGAGGAAAATACTAGAAGATGGAAGGCCTCTCATGTTCATGGACTGGTGGGATTCATATTGTGAAAGTGGTCATCCTACCAAGAGCAAGCCACAGACTCAAGATTCAACACAATCCCCATCAAAATCCCAGTGTCAAAGTTCATAAAAATAGGAAAAAAATCTTAAAACTTATATGGGCCAGGTAGCGGTGGCACACACCTTTAATCCCAGCACTCGGGAGGCAGAGGCAGGTGGATTTCTGAGTTTGAGGCCAGCCTGATCTACAGAGTGAGTTCCAGGACAGCCAGTACTACACAGAGAAACCCTGTCTCGAAAAACAAAACAAAACAAAACCCAAAAAAACAAAAAACAAAAAAACAAAAACAAACAAACAAAAAAACAAACAAACCTTATATGGAAGTACCAAAGACCCTACACAGCAAAAGCAATCCTGAGCAAAAAAGAAGAGAAAGTACCCTATATCTGACTTCAAACCACACTCCAAAGCCATTCCTGGCCATGGTATGGCACCAAGACAACATGCAGACACCAGAGTAGAAGAGAAGAGCTGATATAAAACTACACAACGAAAGCCGCATAGTGTATTCCTTTTAAAAACATTTTTTTAAATTTGTGTAACTAGTAAATGTTCTGCCTGTGTGTGTGTGTGTGTGTGTGTGTGTGTGTTTACCACATGTGTGTCTGATATCCAAAGAGAGTATTGGATTCCTTGAAATCAGAGATACAGGTGGTTACAAGCCATCATATGGGTACTGGGAACTGAACTTGGGGTCTCTGCAAGAGTAGAAAGAGCTCTTAACTACTGACCCATCTCTCTAGTCTTTAACAGTAATAATAATAACAATAATAATAACAATAGATGTCTTATGGAAGCCCACTAATTTCTAACTTTACTAAAATATAAAAAAAGTTTAAAAGGAGTTTTAAAGGAATGGAGATGCCCTGCATGAGTGGACAATGTGCCTCCCCCAAATCATGCGTTATTAAACAAAAAAACCTCAGTGTCAGGCATGGAATACTTCCTTACAAGTCAAGGAGGCCAAAGGCTCCAAACATAGAGTACTACCATTGTCCTTGGCTGCCTACTCCTCCCTAGATGGTAAGACCCTACTGCTGAAGACGCAGCATATTATTCTGGTTGTAGTCCTCCCTGGACCAAAGCACACTGCTCACCAATACCCACACTCTAAGCACTCACTGTGCAGGTGTGGCCCTCCCTCCTGGCACTCATACTGAAAAGTCCCAACTGTGAAGAGCATGTCAAACCCTAACTTTGATCCTCACTTTCTAACTGCCTTCTGGATTCTTGAACTTGGAAAGGCTACTAAGATATTCCCCCCTCCCCTCTCGCTCTCAGTCTCATACTACAGTCCAAGCTAGCCTCAAACTCACAGGAATCCTCCTGCCTCGGTCTCTTAAATGCTGAGATTATAGGCATGAGCTACCACACCCAGCAGACAGACAGCTTCAAGGAAGTGACAACTGACACAGAAAAGATGAGCAGTTTTTCACCTGACCCAACTTTTAAATTAAGTTCTTGGTAACTCAGGTGCCCAAAGTGTCTCCAAGGCCCACCCTTCTAACTCCTGTTCCAGCCATGGACACTCACTAGTAGGACAGCAGGGTCTCTTGCCTTCTTTCTGAATCAAGTACACTGCCACTTAAAAATATCTAACCCGGGCTGGTGAGATGGCTCAGTGGTTAAGAGCACTGACTGCTCTTCTAGAGGTCATGAGTTCAAATCCCAGCAACCACATGGTGGCTCACAACCATCTGCAATGAGATCTGATGCCCTCATATGGGTGTCTGAAGACAGCTACAGTGTACTTACATAAAATAAATAAATTAAAAAAAAAATATCTAACCCACTCTGGGGACAGAGCGAGTGCTAGGTGGCAGGGTACTTGTCTACTATGAATGCATGAGGCTCTGGTTCCACTGCCAGAACCCAAAACAAAAACAGAAACAAATCGAATCCATATCCACAGTTTCCCCACAGGAATGTGGCCCACTGGACCAGGTCCTGCCCCTCCCATGGCCAATACACCATACCTACCATGAACAGAAGTATCTTCTTCCTCGGCTAAAAAGACCTATGTCTAGTGTTGTCCCAAATGAAACCATTAATTGATTTAATAATCCACCTTTCTGTCAAAATCCTGTTTTTCTACAGGGGTCCCCCACAACCTTACAAGAACTCTGTGTTCCTGCCTCAGGACACAAAACCCTCTACGTGGTAATTAGGAGAAAAAGACTCCACATATACTCAGTAACAGGACAGCTTAAAATAACAGGAAGAGAACATACCTCTGCACAAACAACAAAGGCTAACAGAATTTGTTTTTACTCTATGTATAACCACCATAAAATTTAACACTTGCCTCCAATATTGAATTCTTGTGAGGTTCATTCACTTTTCCAGCCAGACAGCAGTGGGAGATAGCATTGTGAATAATTGGTTTGTTTGATTTGCTACTGGGCTCCTTAAAGAGTTTAGGACCTAAGAAAACCAGATCAAAAATTGCACAATTATTAGCATAGGTCACAAGCACACACAAAATAGCAACACTTCTCTCAGAAGCAAAATACAAAAAGCTTAGATCATGGACAATTATGCATTTCTAAAAACAGACTATAAAGGCTTCTTCATATCTACTCAAAAGAATTAAAAAAAAAAAAAAGAAAAAAGACAGATTAAAGTAATCGTTGCTACTTTCTGACTTGAGTCTCTTTACTATATAAATTACAAACCCAGAAACCGGAAAGTGCCCAGGATGTATGATCCTGCTTTATCTCTGCTCTCAAAATAGCAGGCAGTTGGCATTATATTGCCCATGGGACAAATGTGAGGTCTGATCAGGGTCACTACTGTGTCCCTGCTGTGGACAGCCAGCAGTTAGATATAGCTCTGTCACTGAGTAAATGTTAACTAAAAACAAAACAAAAAACAACACTTCTAGGCCAAAATAAAGATTTATTTTAAAGAGTGTTATACGCAAGTGCCTCTGTGGGCAATATACCCTAAAGCCATTGTATGGCTATTACCTGTATACTCGGCCACAGAGGCCAAAGAGGAAGCTGCCGATGCAGTCTCCCAGTCTCGGTCTGTGCTCCGACTGGGGTTGCGGCTCAGGATAGGTAAGGCTTCCAGTGATTCAACTCTGCAGGCAGAAAAAGACAAGGTGCTCAAACTGCACTTCTCCTTACTTCTCCATGACCACCCATACCATCAGGGCAAGAAGCATGCCCACTGCTACAACAGGGCCTTCCTGGGAAGGTGGAGGACTTGATGAGCCTTTATTGGCCACTGTCAGAGAGTGTCACCATGAGTGCACGGAGTGACTGTTGCTGGCTCAGGTTTAGATGACTACAGAAGACTAACAGTCACCAAGCAAGGGATGAGTCCTAGGGAAGGAGGGGCTGAAGTGGGGCTAATCTAAACATCTATGCCTCAGATACTCTCTGATCCCTGGCAGGACTGGGCTGTACATGCAGGGATGCTGGATCATGAACATAAATACCAAAGCCGAAGTCTGAGAAAACTATGTAGAAGGTAGTCTGATGCTCTCTAGGCAGGCTGACAGGGATGGAGTAGAATCTAGCTAGACAACTAACTCCCAAACAAAACTAAAAAAAAAAAGCACCATTCAAGGCTCCCTAGGAGTCCTCCCAAGTCCAGGAGACAAAAACTCACTAGACATCAAGGAGGAATGAAGGCTCCTCTCCACAGAGAGCACTCACATGATGCTTGTACATGACACCATCAAATGAAGCCCCAGCTACAAGAAGTCAACACCATGTAGAAGCTCCCAGCTAAAGCTACAGTAAAAATTCATTGATGCCAAGACAGGTACCCACAGCACCTGTAAGACTACTTTGTAACCCAAAGAGGGGCTTTTAACAGCTGGTAGAAAATGAAAAATACCACTTTAAATGATCCAATAGCCCAAAAGCATTGGTTCCTGTCTGACCCATAGTCCAAGGCTGTGCCAGACGACAGTTTGACAAGTACTATGTAATGAGATACACACTGAGGTATGGGGGTAACGGGGCTAAGTGTCACCCACTTACTCCTAGGCAACAAGAAGTGCACACACGTGACAGGGAGGTCAAGGGGAAAGAACGAAGGAGGGAAAGACATTGAGCCCTGGTAGGGGTAAGCTGGGTTTCCTCCTAAACATTGTGGAACTGGTCTCTCCTTCAGCTTTGATCTGGAAGCTTCTCCTTGTCCATACAAGTGCACTAAGATACCTCATAGTTTCTTGGCCTCCTTACCGGTGAGAAGGTGTGCCCCCCGAATGAACACTCTCAGGCTCTGTTGTTGCTGCAGATGCCAACGATAGGCTGGAGCCAGAGTGAGTTTGGCTCAAGTTATCTGCTGTAGGAACAAGAAGTGGACCAACTGTGAACAAGTTTACAGGCCCACCCTGCTGTCCTAACTCACTGTTACAGAGCCCCCGTGTAAATCCCAACTCTCTGCCCAAACCCTGCAAGTCCCTGGCCATCTCGGAGCATCGCATTTGGTCTCAATCCCTTAAGCCTGTTTAAAGGGATGCTCCCCATCCCAGCCCGCCTCTCACAGTGAGACAGAGACGCTCAGCACTAAGCAGCAAGCACAGCACAGGGTGAGGAGCTTACGGGTGGAAGAGCACTTGGTGCCAGAGTCACTACAAGACTCTTCCCGGTGAACTGACTTTGGCCGAGGCTTTTTAGGCTTTGATTTAGGTTTGCCAAGTCCTTGCTCCTCCAGGGCCTGCTGCTGCTTCCTCCGCAAGTACTCCTGTTTAATGAGCTCTCGCCTTGCCTTCTCCTCCTCCTTCCGGAGTCGATCCTCTTCAGCCTTACGCCTAGGAGCCAAATGGATTCATGAGGGTGGGTCAGAGGTTCTCTTCCTAAGGACAAATATACCAGATCCACCCACTGCAACCCTAAGATCTGTGGTGCTCTCTGTAGATTCTTGGAACTATGGGAGTTTAAGGGATAGGCTGGGACTGAATCATCTAGTAAACTCTCCGGACCACAAACAATGTATTTCCTATGCTGCATGCTGGTAGCCTCATCACTAAAATGGGGAGTGAACACACAGGGACCGAGGGCATAGGGCTGATGTGAAAGTAACAGAAGCACTTGGCATGAGAGCCGCACAGATGTGTACTGTCATGGCTAGCGAATGCCAACGTCCAACAGCAGGAATGAGGAGGGAGTGAAGAGCTGTGAGATGCTGGTCCCTGTGACGTAGCAGCCTGGCTGTCTACCATCTACATCTCAGCTGCCAACTGGACACAGACAAATGGAGGCTGCTGAGGAAGATGTTACCGGGCTTCATCTCGCTTGAGCTCCACTTCTGCCTCCAGCTGCTGCTTGCGTGCACGAGCCTCTTCAGCCTTGCGCTGCTGTTTCAGAAGGAAAGCTGCTCGCTTCTTAGCAAGCTCATCTTCTGCTTTCTGTTCATCCTACAAAGCCCATTACTTTATGGTCAGTGGCAGTACAAGGAACTCCTTAAACTACCCAACCTAGGCTTACCCTGATCAAGTAAGGACTTTAACATACACTTAGAAAATCTGACTTCAATGGGAGGGAGAGTAAGATAGAGCCTACGTAGCCCTGGATATCCTAGAACTCTATGCAGGCCAAGCTGGCCTCAGATTCAGATATGTCTGCCTCTGCTTCCCAAAGGCATGCACTACCATGTCCAGCTCTGATTCTTTTTAATTAATAAGCTTATCGTATATACATACACTGTGACACAAATGGAAAAAAAAAAGTCCATGCCATCAAAATAGCCTGTTAGATGACCTTCGCATGCCCCGCACCAGATTCAGTTTCCCTACAAAGCCACACATTTCTCCCCATCTCAGCTAACACCAGTGCGACTGCAACCATACCATACAAAGTATGACTGGGAATGAGGAGGTGGCTCAGCAGAGAAAATATCTGCTGGGTAAGCATAAGGACCAGCGTTCAGATCCCCAGAACCCACAAAAAGCCAGGTAGGAAAGACAGACTTGTGTGATCCCAGTACATGAAAAGTAGAGAGTCTGTGGACCAAACTTGCTTGCTAGGCTAACTGAAATGTTAAACTCCAGGTTCTACAGGACACCCTGCCTCGTATTCAAGGTGGTCTATGGCCACATCACTCTGAACCCATCCACTCTTGTCTAATACAAAAAGTGGAGAGCAATAAGGTAAAGCACCCAATGTCAGCCTCAGGCTTATTATACATACACACACACACACACACACACACACACACACACACACACACACAAACATGCACATATACATACACACACATATACATACACATATACACACACGCACATATACATACACATATACATACACACACACATACACACACACACGTCAATAAAGCATGCATCTTATAAGGCTGAGACTGTACCATGTGGTCAGGAGAAAACAGACATGATCAAGAAGAGGAGAAACCCTGGAGGCCATACTTATCATCTCTGAGAAAGAAGTGCAGGGCAGAGAAACAAAGACCTTTCAAAGCTTCTCTGCTGCCAGGTTTCCATATCAGGGGTTGGCAAGCTGAAGCACACAGGCCATATCTGGCTTGGATGTCTTTGTACAGCATTTGAGTTCTGAGCATTTTTTACATTTTTCAATGACAAAAAAGTCATCCAAAAATAAAGTATTTCATGACTCATGAAAATTATCAGGTTCTAGAATGTGCTGCCTGTGACTACATCTGGTTGGGTACATCCTCAGAATGTATAGCCCACGAAATCAAACATGTTTCTTCTCTGGCTTTTTATGAAACCTACTTAGAACAGAAGTTCATGAGATACCCTCACAACTAAGGCAATGTGACTACACTTCAACACACTTCCAACTTACCTTGAAGAAGAAACCAACCCCAGGCTTCTGGTCACTATCTCCACCAAGCTCTACCGAGCTCTCATGACCAATCACCTCTCCATCCTCATCAGGGGCCTTCAGGTCAGAGAGGTCCACCTCAATGAGGCTGGCCTTGCTCCTCAGCGGCTCCTCCATCAGAGTGTGTTCTTTGCCTGTGACAGCAGAGGCACTCAGCCCTGCCTCTTTTACACTTGTATCCAGACCCTCTTTAAAGTTCATCTGCTCTGAGATAATGTTTGCATCTTTGCAAGAGGACAGAACAAGTGTCCGATGGTTACTCTCATCATGGAGTCTATAACTGTCAAAGAGACACTTCTCAGGGAGTTCCCCACCAGGGTCGGAGGGTGACCGTGGATGGGTACTTGGGGGTAAAGACCTTGAATGTGGGAGTGCCTCCACACTGGGTGTTGGAGTTTTGCTCCGAGAACAACCCTGCTGCCTGTCTTTTGGAACCTTCAGTTCAGCTGGCCTTCCTGAGCGGGAATTCCGGCCCTGGCCAAGCCGTGGGGGTTTGCGGTGGCCAGGCACACCAGTTGGAGAGAGTGGCTCAACAAAGTGGACTGGGGCCTTTACTTTTTGGTCCTGGCAGTTATTCTTAGTGCCTGGTGTTGGCACTGTGGGGGACTTCATGAGAAGCTGCTCTTGCTGCTGGGAGATCTTCAGTATAGCCTGCTGCAGTGTACTGATGGTCTCATTAAGTTTCTCAATGGACAAGTCACACTCAGTCACATCTACCTCACCAACACTGTCCTCCAGGAGAGCAGCAGCAATGACTCTGTGCTTCTCTCCATCATGCAGAGTAGCTGGGTCCCTGGGTTTATGTAGATGGACAAATGCCACATCCTGAGAGTCACTGAGATCTCTCTGTTCTTCTTTGACAAGGAACTCTTCAGTTTTACAAGTGCCATCATCCAAGTCCTCCCCATTGTGCTGTGTGAATTCCTTCATGAAGTGTTCGGGTCTCAGTGGCTGTGGGGCCCCATCAGCCTTCCCTTTCTTTACCACGTGCAGAAAGGCTGCCTTGCCCAGCTTGAGACGCTGCCGTGCAGAGAGTGCCTCCATCTTTTTCTTCTGGGCTTCAATGGCTCTGCGCTTTTCCTCCAGCTGCATGTGCAGCTGCACCAGCTCAGAAGCCAGCAAGCTGGCAGGGTCCTTACTGTGCCTGCCTGGGCTCTGCTCTCTCTTCTGGCGCCATGTTGTCAGAGGGGCTGGGCAGCTTTCCGATGCATCTGGGGTGGTCTTCTGGGAGCTGCTGGTGCTGGACTTGGTCTCACAGCTGTTGAGCCGCTGGAGCTTCCTTTCAGCAAAACTGGTCATCTTCACACTTCCGCTTGCCATGGACATGCTGCTGAGCTGAGAAGTCGTGCTCAGACAAGGGCTTGAGCGGCCACTGGCATCATCTTTGTCTTCGTGTTCCTTCACTTTCATATCCTCTTGTAATTTGGCTGACTCTTCCTCACCAGCATATCTGGGGATAACCACAGGATGGTCCTCACCAATAAAATCCTGCTCGGTATCCTCTACATCCGCCACATCAGAGTCTGAGTCCTGCCTCAGGATGGTCCAGGGTTCTGAGTCATGGGAGCTGGGACTCTGTGAACCAACATACCACCTCCCCTCATCTTCCTCAGCCCTGCCTACATGAAGAAAGAAACCATCAGCAGCCTGCCCCTGAGGTAATGGATCAAATCTACCCAGGGTCAGAGGCTGTCCTTCCCCTGTAACTTCTGCTGACTGTGGTCCTACCTCTGCAGGATCAATACTCGCAGTAAATTCTGAACAAGGAATTGGGGTAAAAGTTCTGTTAAGGTCACGACTGCCATGGCTACCAGTTGCTTTCTTCCGTACCATAGGCTGGGAGCCCTCACTAGGCCTCTTGGCCATGATGGTCCTTGATCTCCCTTCTCCACGCTCATCTTCCTTAGTGATAATCTGCTTCTCTTTGGCTGGCCGGAGGACTGCTGGCATCAGGGGCTCTAAGTAAAAACTGTCAGGCTTACTCTCCAGAGTGTCTGCCTGTCTCTGGGGAGACCTGACAGTTGCCACCAGGCCTGGGGCCTGAGGTGAGATCCTGGGAATCTCTGGGGAACGAGGAGACACATCTGTCCTGATGATGGCTACAAGTTCCTCCTCCTCATCCTCAATGTTGACATTGCTCAGGAGGCTTTTCCCATTGGTCTTTCCAGCTGAAGAATGGGGTTGGTTCTGTGGGGTCAGGTGGATAACATTAGATGCCAAGCTATCCTTGCTGATAGAGCGGGCTAAGCTGACACTGTCACCAGAACTGGGGTCCACATCACAACTTGCAGCATGATGGAGAGCAAACGGTGTTGGCTGTGACACGGGCCTGAAATAAGAGGAGAAACCAACTCACTGTTGAGCAGCCTGAAGGAGAAGAGCTCAAGGTATGCAGAGTGCCAGTCTTATATGAAGAAGCTTTATATAAAGGTTCTAGGACAAAACAGCAGCAGAGGCAACATCTGGTGAATGACTCACAAGCGCTTTGCCTCAGCACTCCTTCACACACCCTTTAAAGTGACCAAGGCCCCGCCCAGGAGCCTTGATTATCTATCTATATTTAGCACACTACAAATGAAAGCTCAGATATTTTCTTAAACCCTTGAGTAAAATCACCACAAGAAACATGAAAAGCAAACGTACCCATAGCACAGGTGGCACTATTGCTTTTACAGACCTCTGACACCTGCTAGATCCTCACGTGTCCCTCTATTGCTGCGACACCACAGAGCATACAGCCACTATGCAAGTACATGCTGGCATTTCTGTGCTATCACTAGCTGCCAGCTCCCTGAAGCAGCTTGGTGAATCTTAAAAGAGTCCCTGAAACATATCTGAAGAACTTATGCTTAGTCTAATGAGCACCTCAATAGAAACAATTCAGTTACTCACCTGGTTTTTTTATCTGGCCATGCTACTGCTGCACCTCGTGGCTGACCATCAACCCGAGTTAAGGAATTCGATCTGTGTCGCTGATCTGTAGTTTGGAAGAAACAAGCACATTCAGCGTTTAGTAACCAACACTGTACCACTTGCAGTTCTTTCAGTGCAATAGCCATTTCTCTGGGTAATAATAATCCTAACTCAGCCCACTACTACACCACTCAGGGAAGTGGATGCTCAAAACAGTGTAATTTCCAGCAGCTTCGATGAGTGCAGTGCTACAGCACAGTGATCAGTAGAGCAGTGCTCAGCACAGTGATCAGTACAGCAGTGCTCAGCACAGTGATCAGTACAGCAGTGCTCAGCACAG